TACAATAAAACCTTAAATTAGAGTAAATAATATGAACTCACCTTTCCTTTTTGGCGTCTAGTTAGCAGAATAACAGGCAAAATAGAAAAATAATTGCTGAAATCAGCTGACCATGCAGCATCGGCCGCCACCCCTACTGCAGCCGCCGTCGCGTCCCAGTGAAGCCTAGCCCGTCAGAGGGATCACGACTGTATATAAATGCTAACTGTGGAAAGAGATCCTCGTTTTAACAAGGAACGTCCGACGCCGATTCTTGGATGTCACCGTAACTTTAACTTTAATCTTATCTACTTTATATCTTCCTGGATGCCACTCGCATTTTATGGAGTGCTAATATGAAATATTTTATGCAATAACAAGAAAAACGATATGCATCAACATATCGTTTTTCTTGTTCTTTCCTTGGTTATCGTTTCCACGTGGTCCTCAACGGCAGCTGCTGCCCTCAGCAGCACCTGTATCGATCACCTCAGGACCTTATTCACACGTCGCCGGTACGAATTTAGGATGTGTGGTGTTCCTGAAAGATTCCCACTTCTCACCTATCATGCCCCTTGGCAGGCTCGCCTGCAGGGTCGCAATCGATTTCTCCCTGACTCCTGACCTTTTCTCGACATGGCTGTTATATCAGAATTCTTCAACAAATTAAATGATATATGAGTGAAGATTTTCGAACATGGAAGTGCAGAAGGTGAATCAAATGAAGCACAACGAAACATGAAAAGCACGCCCACTATTCGGGTTTTTCGGTTTTCCTCAAATTTTCCTGAAGTTCCTGTTTCAGGCGAACTGCATGCCCCCGCCCTACCCCCGCCGAGCTTTCAATACACGGCAGTATAGTGATAAGAGATGTAATGAGAATGGTCTGTAATGGGAATGGTCTTTCTTTTCTTATCAATTGATGATTGCCTCACACTCGTTATCAATGTCCCTATCACTGAAACTCTATAATTTGGTAGTGTAAAGGCTCCAGCAATTTGACTGAACAACATTGGCAACGTTCCTTATCAGCCCCTATCAGCTGTTATCACCTCACGTGCCGTGTCCCCATTTCCAACTCTATATCATTTTCTGAAATCAACGCCTAGCTGATGCTGTGTCCCGCGTCATTAGTATGGTGACCTTCCCATTCTAACTCATTTATCAAATCCTATCAGCTGCTATCATTCCCTGTCACCCATCAATAATGTTCCTGTCCCACGTCCTATATCATACCTTGGAACCAATGTCCCACTGTTGCTGTGACCCGCACTATGGACTCGGTCCCCTCCCGTTCTGACGCCTTTTTTAGATCTTATCAGCTGATATCACTCCCTGCCACCCAGCAATAATGCCTGTCCCACACCTATATCATACCTTGGAACCAACGTCCCACTGTTACTGTGTCCCGCACTATGGACTCGGTCACCCTCCCCTTCTAAGGCCCCTTATCGAATCTTATCAGGTGTTATCACCAAAAGTGTTCCCGTCCTGCCGTGTATATCACTTCTTGGAGCTGTCATCCTATCTTTTCTGCGACGCTCGCTATGCAATTTGAAGACAGACAGAAGCACAGAAAAACACGCACACAAACACTGACATACTAGCGGATTATATATAGTAGGATGAAGGTAATGCAGACAAATAAATACAACATCGTCGCGTGCAAGTCGTCGTGGTTAACGAGTTATGCTTTCAGCTACACCATTGAGCTTGAACGAGGGAAGTCGTTTGCAGTCTGGAAAGGCTTCTGGAGCGGTTTTCTGGGTGGCTTATTCTTTTTCGTTCTGTTCTCATTTCTGGGATGTGGAATGCTGTGAGTCAAATATTTATTTTCTTCATTCAGCTATTCGAAACCTGAACTGTTTGTAGCCAACTTCCGAGTAGCTTACAATTTGAAGGACGGCTATCTTGGGATTTATGTGGAAATGCAGTCCAAAAAAAACTCTTTATGAATTTGCGCAGTCCTCTGGGGGTTTACGTGACCACTAAATCTTGCACTTCTGTATGGTCCTGTCGCAAAACCCTGTAACGCAAACAGACTGAGGACAGCGTCTGCCAAACAACGAGGTGCAGAAAGCGGGTGGCAAGCCGAGAATGGGATTTTTCAAGGGCAGGGGTTAATGTATGGATAAGTCATCCGTCATGCATGTAAACCTGGAATGTGCAGTCACAATGGTCGCAGAACATTACGCAGACAAGAGAGTGCAGAGACAAACAGAAGCGTGACGCGATCAAAGGGGTTAAGTTCATGTTGTTCGTAGACCCCTGGGGTAAAGGAATTCCGAAGCACACAAATGCGCGCCCGATTACAACTAAAACAATAACATAGTGGAGTAACATTCACATCCATCATTTACTCCTGTAGTTAAAATAGTCGAAACTAAAATTCCTCTTCACACTTTTTTGCAATATCCGCAGTCCAAAGGTATTTTATGGAGGTTTATTATTGACGAACTTTAGAGTCACCTAGAATCCCAGCTCCTTCTGTATAACAAGATGTATGTGGTAAGCTTACAAGGAAGGTCTTTCAGGTCATGGCGCGCTTTTTGGAAATGGTTTGTTGCTTGTTGTAGGGGTCCATACAAGGGTCACAAAAATGGGTTTCATTTTGCTATGCGTTTCTGGGTAGGTCAAAAACTGAGTGAAAAGAATTTGACAGGAATGGGCGGTTTTAACAATGTTAATGGGCTCCGTTCTGCTTGTAACTTCGAGCATGCATAGTTTATGAGGTGCTCGTTAATTAGGCCTTGAAAATAGATTTGAATAAAGCAAAATGTAAGAATCATGTAGTAACACACTTGCCATGCACCAACGCAAGAGTGATGTTTTTGTCAGCGGGCCCTTCACGACCACTGCCGGTGGATCGGATGGCGCAGCGGATAACACGACGGATTCTGGATGGGAGCGCAACGCGGGACTTTGGATCGGATTTTCCTAGCGGGAAATTTTTTTGCATTTCCCAGCTTTCCATTCATTCTGGCATTGGAAACCAGCCAAGTATATGCCATTTGAAGGCACATTTTCCATGCTGAGACCTTACAAACCAGCTCGGTTGTATGGAGAAGTTTGTTTCCGGAATGTTCTCGTCTCGTTGCGTTAACCTTCCCCTTTATTGATAGAGAAATCTAACAACTGTGGCAAAGTTCAACAAAACATGTGAAGCAGCATCTACTGCACCAACTACACCTAACAAACGCCAGAGAAGAACAATTACTGCCATCTTGACAAGGGACGACAACATCTCCTTCGTTTAAAACCGAAGTCGGTCGGTGTTGAAAACGGTCCAGGATGCTCTTCGACATACCCAGCGGCCACCCAGGCGTACGCAATACATGGGCGAAATCTGGGGGCGCAAAACTGCCGGTACGTCTGGCTGATGACCTACACGGAAAAGTTGCTGGCAACTTGTTAACATACCCGAGAAAGGCATCTCACCTATTGTCCCTGCTATACGCGAAATCCGACTGATGATGTATCACGTGGTCGTGAATGCGTCGGATGTATCGCTTGAACAAGCGGAAGAAGTAGACGTCGAGAGGCTGACAGAGGGAAGTTGCCCCTGCAGGGATGGTCATCAAACGGAGCTCCTTCCCTGGAGGTACTTCCGACAGCACATTAGCGTGGTCGGTAAACCCAGCCCAACTATCGACAAGGAGAATAGTCACTGGAGGTGAATTTGACCCAACCACACACTCCTTGACGAAAGTCGGGACCTGGGACTTTGTCATGATGTGCGTCTTCCCAGCCATCACCAGCAGGTTGGGTGCCTGCCAATGTCCGCACTGTGGAAAGACACCTCCCCTTTCGGGAAGAATGACAAGAAGCTTGTCCCCAAGCCGCCCATCGGCATACATGACAGGCATCGCGGTGAATGAGTGTGTTAGTGATGAGACAGACTGAACTGCTCTCACCACCTGTTTGGATCCGACCGGAGCTAGTGTTCTGAAACAGCTGCTACCGTTGTAGTAGAGTATCGAGATGTTGTTAGATTTCTCTATCAATAAAGGCGAAGGTTAACGCACGAGACGAGAACGACGGAAACAAATTTCTCCCTACAACCGAGCTGGTTTGTAAGGTCTCAGCATGGAAAATGTGCCTTCAATGGCATATACTTGACTGGTTTCCACTGCCAGACATGCAGGAGCGGGAATGAAAAAAAGAAAGCTGAAAAATGCAAAAAACCTCCCACAAGAAGGATCCAATCCACAAAGTCTCGCATTGCCGTCCCATCCAGAATTTGTCGTGTTATCCACTGCGCCATCCGATCCACCGCAGTGGTCGTGAAGGGCCCGCTGACAAAAACATCACTCTTGCGTTGGTGCATGGCAAGTGTGTTACTACATGATTCTTACATTTTGCTTTATTCAAATCTATTTTCAAGGCCTAATTAACGAGCACCTCATAAACTATGCATGCTCGAAGTTACAAGCAGAACGGAGCCCATTAACATTGTTAAAACCGCCCATTCCTGTCAAATTCTTTTCTTTTCACTCAGTTTTTGACCTACCCAGAAACGCATAGCAAAATGAAACCCATTTTTGTGACCCTTGTATGGACCCCTACAACAAGCAACAAACCATTTCCAAAAAGCGCGCCATGACCTGAAACACCTCCCTTGTTAGTATCCTATGTCGACGCAATTTTTCGTTGAACTGAATGGGAGAATAGTTTACCTATTACCAACTGATCTCGTCTGAGGGGCGTTCCTTATATTCGGCCTCAACCGTGAAGTGGTTTGATTCACTGAACGTTTATCCCTTTAGGGATGTGGTCCATGCCTCAGAAAGGTGCAAACTTTGATGTCCTTATCATCTTTCATTTGCTTTCTGTTCAGTACTGACTGACCCCTGCCTTTGACCCTCTCCTATCAGCGATCAAAACGACCCCTTCGGTTCTTGACGGTGTTGTGCATTGATCGGAATGAAGGTGGCGTGAAGTCCACCAATGTTTGCAGATATGGCGGTTACCTGCTGAAAGAAAGCATCATCAAAATACCTGGCGATGTGTTCATCGTTGTGATGTCCATACTCCTTGGCGCCTACTTTCTTGGACTAATATCGCCACACTTGATGGTGCTGCTCAATGCCAGGGTCGCAGCTGCTACTATATACCAGACTATCGATCGAGTAAGGACACTCCTAGTGAATCGCAGCAGCTTCTGTATTATGTGTAACACTTACAGGTACCGAAGATAGACGCCTATTCACAAGCAGGCCAGAAACTCGATCAAGTTAAAGGTCGCGTAGTATTTGAAAATGTTCACTTCAGATATCCGAGCAGGAAGGATGTTAAGGTCTGTTAAGATGGAGCAGACTGCTTTTATCGAGGAAGAGGAGCTGTACAACTGTACAACTATCGATACCTCAAAGTCTATATTCTTTCGAGCTGAAAGTTTGAGTGTAGAGGTTTCCCGGTGCACCGATCGTGAACATTACATCCATTTCTAGCGACGATACGCTCTGCTTTTGCAACACCACCTTCTCCACCACCATCATATCTAAAGGCTGCTTGGAGCCGTGATCACGAATATCACATCAACCTTCAACTTTATTCAGCGTTCTGCTAAGGCAGAGTAGGAAAAGAAGTTTACCCTCCCTCAGCCCCAACCTCAGCAGGACACAGATGGACTGACCAGGAAGGTCCTTTAGGGTGTGCCCCGCTTTTTCGAAACGGTTTATTGCACTTTGTAGGGCCTTGCCCATGAACCATAAAAGTGGGCTTCGTTTTGGCTGAGCGGCCCCAGGAACGCCAAAAAGGAGCGAAAGGTACGTCTATGTACCCCCATATGATGGATTATTTATGATTTATGATTTATTATCGATTTACTTATGTGTCAAACGTTGAATTAGGCACATGGTGGTAGATGAAATTATACAGTGTAATCGAGGAAAAAAAAAACTCCGATAAGGTGAAAAACACTCATGGTAATCGAGACTTAAAGCTGCAAGCAATGAGTGGAGAGGTAGTCAGCGCAGAAGGGCAGTGGCCTCGTGCACAGAACCTAAGACTGCAAGTCCATGGATGCTCTTGATAGGAACTTCCGGCATAGCCCACTTTTAGTAGGTCCCGTCCACAACTTTTGCTGACTTAGCTAATTGATCCACTGCCAACTTTGCCGCAGTATTGATGAAAAAGATCCAGGTGCAGCCGGATGTACATCTAACAGACAATATACAAGAAACACAAGCTATGAGCTAAAAATATCATTCAGATAAGGATACAAGAGAGTCTTGAAACATTCATATCCACCGCGAAATCGCTTCTCGATCAGTTTAAGTTTAGTATGGTTTAGTTTCTGTCCTCAGAACCAGCCCTGAGATATCATAATTCGCCTAACTTTGCTTCCTGAAGTTCCTTAGAGGAGCTCGAGTTAACAACATCAACCGGTAAATCGTTCCAGAAAGTAATAACTCTTTGTGTAAAAGAATTTCGAAACTCAGTTGATCTTGTTTTCTCTCTCATTATCCTAAAGTTGTGACCCCTAGTACGGCCAATTGTTGAAGATTTTGTAAACAAGAGGTCGAAATCCAAATCTATAGAGCCAACACTAAGCTTGTAAACAAAGTCGTAGTCGTATAGCTTTCTTCTCATCTCAAGAGAGTCTTCTCCCAGATATTTGAGCCTGTCTTTATACGAAATATGAAACATGCCTCCACGGGCGAAAATTTTCTCAGTAAATTTGGACTGAACACTCTCAATAAGTTCAACCATATGACGAGTATGAGGAACCATATAAGGAACGTTAAGCGCTATACTGGCGCCAAATTGCGTCGACGTCGAAAATAAGTGTCAAAATCAGGACCATCGATTACCCTTATGGACGAACTTCCAGCCAAAAATTTTTTTTCGATTTTTTGGGTTTTGGTGGACCATTTGGTCGGCAGTGGTGACCGGAGTATCCCATCTTCGTAAAGACGATGATGGAACGACGACGTAGCAGGCCGCCGGGCAGGACAGCAAACCTGGTGGAATGCCTCCCTTTCCTTCCTCTTTGCATGAATTTCATCGGCATTGTTACTTTTATCTTTGGATATTAATAAAATAGGGGGTCCCTATGGCGAGGCACTGTAGACTTCTATAGAAAGACTGTCGGGCACAACCCAACGCACACACCCAAAAAAGTCGAAAAAATTTTTTGGCCGAAAGATTGTTTACAGGGGTAATCGATGGCAGGATGTTTACAGCTCGTAGAGGCTCAAAAACAATCAGTTTCCATAGGTTTCTTTTTCGCTCCTTTTTTGGCATTCCAGGGGCCGCTCAGCCAAAACGAAGCCCACTTTTATGGTTCATGGGCAAGGCCCTACAAAGTGCAATAAACCGTTTCGAAAAGCGGGGCACGCCCTGAACGACCTCCCTTGTGAGTGTTCTACACACGTCAGTGACGGGCCACATGAATATCATGACCATGGTGTCATAAAGCCGTAGCACGCAACATACATCGAATCTGGTGAAAAATTAAGGTATATTGCCAAGCTGACATCTATAGGTGCCAAAAGACGCCGGCTCCAAAACGATCGCATGTTCGTGATTATTGTCGAGATTTTTCAGCAAAAAATTCGATATTTTGGTGATGGTATAACAAGTACCGTGAATTAGTCTCTATGTTATCCCTTGCTGAAACGTCGACAGAATGTCTAATTAGTTTTCTCATTTTGCTAAACGAGTTTTTCTAGAGACATTCGATTGGAATGATCTTTTATCATTCCCTCTTCGCCAGAGACCAAGGATTCCACCGGTCCTGAGCTCAGGTAAGGTTAGCAAGGCGAAAATTTGAAAAGTTAAAACTGCCTTGCTAACTTTGCCAGTACACCAACGGTCAAAGGGAATCTTTGGTCTCTGAGGAAGGCGGAACGCACAAACGTCAAACCGAACAAAGTTCCATCTAAACACCTCGTTCGGCAGAAGAAGAAAATCAATTCGGCAAAGTGTCAAAAACTTGAACCCTAATGAAAGCGAATGGATTTCTGAGCCTGCTTCAGGTACTAAACAACCTGAATCTCGTTATCGAACCAGGCCAAACAGTAGCATTGGTTGGCCACTCTGGCTGTGGGAAGTCGACATCAGTCGGTTTACTTACTCGCCTCTACGAACCTGAATCTGGACGCGTTACGCTCGACGGGCATGATGTCCGAGAGTTGAACATCGAGTGGCTACGGAATGCCGTTGGGATCGTGCAACAAGTGAGTACAACTCAGGATATTCTGAAGCACAACACCTTATTCTCCCACTCCGAATCGTAGTGGCTTATTGAAGCGATCTGACCCATACAGTGACCTGCGGGAGTCAGCCAATGTGCAAACCAGTATTTTTAGTCTTGCAGACAAATCTGGTTCCGGTTAACCGGCTCCGGAAAGGAAAAGCTTGAGCGTCGATCCGCGGTATAATCTGCAGACCGCGCCTGCTGTAAGCGGCTGCTCGTACAATCGCAGCGACCAAGCACGGAGTATGTACGCGCTGCCGTCGTTAGAAATAAATTTGTTTCAGGAGCCATGCCTTTTCAATGACACAGTTGAAGGGAATCTTCGTGTCGGTAATCCGCAAATTTCCATGGAACAAATGGTTCACGTGTGCAAAATGGCGAATGCACATGACTTCATTATCAAATTGCCTAAGGTTAGTTCGAAAGTAAAGAAAACTTCCCGGATATGTACCTATAGATTGTAACATCGAAACCAGTCGGAGGCGATAAGAGGAGGGCGAGATAAGCCCGTCTTTGGCTGGGTCGCTCTACCAAATCGGCTAGTGAACGATTTAGGAAGAAAACAATCAGTGGTGGCAAGGGCGCAGGTGGGCTCCCCTTGGGAATTGACTTGACTGAATGACTAATCACCTCTATCTCTGGTAGACTTTCAGGCACCCAAACGTTGGAGGGCATCTAAGAACCCTTCAGGCAGAATTCCACGGTTTTGAAGATAGGAACCTCTGCCAAGCCTGGAGGAATGAGCTTTGGGGAAGGTGAACCATTTCAGTTACGGTAATTGTAACCGCGAGTCTTCAATCCCTTTTATTCATGGAGTCTTTCCCAGGCCCTCAGAAGTGCCCGAAATTCGATTGCAGTAGGACCAAGCATTTGTTGTGTAGGCAGGGGTCTGCATAGAGGTTTAGGATCTCCACTTTATTTCCTTCTCACGTAAATGTTACACCCCTTCATGCTACGGGAGAGACACCGATTGTTACAGGCCCGATGAACATGCAAAGAACGTCATAAACTCCCACATAGTCGTGCAGCGTACTTTTCTGCCGTCAGCACACACCAACAAAAAGTTGAACTACCTTATTTGACTTCTGAGGAAACTTAATAACCACTTTAATCTCATTATAATGAACGAACTAGCTTGAAGCAGTGCAGCAGGAAGATCTCAAAAGGACAGCCAGCAGTACTCATCCGTTACTACCCCGTTATTCGAAATTCAAGGAAATTTTACATAGGAATCCTATTGATGCTTCTGTGGCTGGGGGTAGTTTGACTACTTGAACACGAATACTGCAATTGTCCATTATCGTCATCATCGTAACGGGCGCCAACGTCACAGTTGGTTTTGGCGCCTGGGTCGTAGTCCACGTACGAGAAGTTCCATACCAAGTGAGCGTGATATCATCAGCATATTTCCGAGGAGTAAATTCTGATCAACGTAAACACGGAGAGAAATTCAAGCGAAACCTTACCGCGATCCCAAAAAGTAGGGGGCTAGCTGGCCAGTAGTGCCGGAAGTCCGTCATGAAAAGAACGGGAAGTCTTATCTTAGCGTCTTGGGATGGTGGAGAATTTGATGTAAATTCTAGGCTTACGAGACCTACATTGGTGATGGTGGAGTGCAACTGTCTGGCGGTCAGAAACAGCGCATCGCTATCGCACGGACTTTGGCACGAGATCCAAAGGTGGGTTCTTGTGTCTTTAGATAAGTCTCTCCAACAAAGCTGATTTCAGGTTCTCCTGCTGGACGAGGCAACAAGCGCTCTTGATGCTCAAAGTGAGAGCATTGTTCAGGTGCGTGAAATCGGGAGCTCTGCACCACTTAGAGTTGCTGTAATTTTTTGAATATGATATAGTCATGCAAGCGGCTTAGGCGTAAAAAATTCAGAATTTAACATTCGGACCGCGAACCCTACAAGAGGCACCACTTGCTACTTCACAACTGAATTCGTGCACTCCATACACTGAATTCGTGCACTCCTCCTTTTGGTGTGCGAAACCGCTCAAGGGGCAGGGTAGTGTCATACATGACACCTGCAGTTTTAGCGAATGTTGTTTTTCTCGTTGCACGCGCGCTATTGACTTAATAGCCTTTTCCATCCCCGCTTGACGATAGATTTGGAGAATTTGGTAATAGCGTAGGTGGGTTATGAGAAAGAGTCATAGCGGAGGAGGAGATTTGGGTGTTGTACCATAAGTCAATATATTAAAAACGGCGGACGTTCTGTCTGGTCTTGTCTGGTCTGTCTGGTCTGTCTGTTTGTCGGTCTGTCACGGAAAAAATTCGCGAACTAACTGAAGAGCCATCTCAGGGTCGGCGTCAACAGGTTGGGATGGGTAGGGCATGGGCCAAGATGTACGAAACACACGTGAACTAGGCTAAGCCCCGCCCACTGTGGGCGGCGCGTGCGCATAGTTGTGAGCTTCATATTTCAAAAATTCGTAGTTCGGTTCCAAAAAAGCCCCGAGAGCGGAAGGAGAAAAGTGGCAAACGATAGGCAATTAGTTCGCGGACGAAATGACTGAAACAAACCCATTTTGGGCGGGGCGTTCTACAGATGGGCGGTGCTTGCTTCGAGATTTTCAAAAATTCCCAGTTCGGTTCCAAAAGAGCCCCGAGAGCGGAAAAAGTGGCAAACGATAGGCAATCAGTTCGCGGACGAAATGACTGAAACAAACCCATTCTGTGCAGGGCGGGCGTTCTGTAGGTAACGCCTGCCGTGCTACCGAAACGTTCAAAAATTCGTACGTTGGGTTCCGAAAAAGTCCGCAGGCGGGGGGACGTAGAGTGGGACGATAGGAGCAGTGCCGCATAGAAAATTTTGATGGCTGTCTACTAGGGGGGTATATACTAGAAGTGAAACGGTAAAGTGCGGTAATTCTCAAAATAATATTTCTTTCGACCATTCGTCCGACTGGCCCTCCCTCACATGGAAAACTTCTCACAGGGACCCACTTCACACGCGGAAGGAGGATCGGCCGGCGAAGCCGGCCGATCCGACTGGCCCTCCCTCACATGGAAAACTGCTCACAGGGACCCACTTCACACGCGGAAGGAGGATCGGCCGGCGAAAGCCGGCCGATCCGACTGGCCCTCCCTCACATGGAAAACTGCTCACAGGGACCCACTTCACACGCGGAAGGAGGATCGGCCGGCGAAGCCGGCCGATCCGACTGGCCCTCCCTCACATGGAAACTGCTCACAGGGACCCACTTCACACGCGGAAGGAATCGGCGCGAAGCCGGCCGATCCGACTGGCCCTCCCTCACATGGAAAACTGCTCACAGGGACCCACTTCACACGCGGAAGGAGGATCGGCCGGCGAAGCCGGCCGATCCGACTGGCCCTCCCTCACATGGAAAACTGCTCACAGGGACCCACTTCACACGCGGAAGGAGGATCGGCCGGCGAAGCCGGCCGATCCGACTGGCCCTCCCTCATGGAAAACTTCTCACAGGGACCCACTTCACACGCGGAAGGAGGATCGGCCGGCGAAGCCGGCCGATCCGACTGGCCCTCCCTCACATGGAAAACTTCTCACAGGGACCCACTTCACACGCGGAAGGAGGATCGGCCGGCGAAGCCGGCCGATCCGACTGGCCCTCCCTCACATGGAAAACTGCTCACAGGGACTCATTCCACGCGGACAGGAGGAATGCGGCGGCGGGCGAAGCGCCATGCCGACTGGTAAGTCAGTAGGATGGAATGAGGTGGAATTCATTGCGGAATGCCAAGGTGGCACTGTCATTTTCGAGAATGGCGATAGTGCGCTTTTTCATGGGGTGTCACCATACAAGAAAAAATCGCTATTCACAACGTGCGGTCGTGGGATGCGCCATCGAGGGTCGGAACATTAATTGTTAGGAAGTCGACAGTTGATATGATATCAGCTCAGAAGCAAGGGGAGTACAAGGTGATTTCAGTCTGACCACACTCCAAGGCACTCGCCATAAGGAGCGTAGGTATTGATGATGAAATGTTTAGGAAAAATTATCAGGTGACTCGTATGTGAAGAGAAAATGCTAAAACGAACGTCGGCAACGCCTCTAATAAGGCCCCTCTAGCCTCAAACTACTGTGCGGGTAGAAGGTCTGAGGTTTGTGTGTTGGGACGAGTCCAGTCGGCTGATTCCTTATAATGAACCTACGACCCTATACAAGACAGCAGAGTATCTGTTTGATGTTACTTGTCCGGTACCATTGATTTGGCTGGGACGCGGACTTAGAAGGCGGACTCTGGAGGCGGAAAATAGGGAGATCACCAAAGAAAGTTGCTCCTTAACTCTTTCACCTTACAACTTTCTGCGGCGAAACTGGTAAAAGCTTGTCCACTGCTGACCACACTACACTTCCCACACGATTTTGCATCTTAGTATTAGTATTAGTATTTATTACACAACGAAATTGTGTGTGTACGAAAACAACTTAATGAGAGGAACAACTACTCCTGAGAAACATTATCAGTAAATATTCAAAACGACAATAACAAACGTAACGTGAACTCATATAAGGCCTCATGGACTCAAGCGTTTATTCAATAGTGTCTTGAAAGTGCTGTAATTAACGGTATGGGATGCTTCTTATCGAGTTTCTCATATGAAGGTAAGGCTCTGTGTGAAAAGAAATGACGCCTACTATTCACCCTCGCTTTAGCAAGGTTATATTTAATAGTGCTTCCCCGAGTAATGGACGACTTTGAGCGAAAAAAGACGTCCAAGTTCAATAGGTCCATCTTCATAGACCATCGATTCCTTCATGTGTTGCTCCGTGTTGTTTTGGTTCTAATACGGCTTCTGTGGTCATTTTGTGTTCTTCGAATCTACCTTCCTTATGAGAAATGATTGCAGTCCGCTCTCAACAATGCCTCTCGTGGCCGTTCGACGATAGTGATCGCCCATCGCTTGTCAACCATTAGAAGTGCCGACAAAATCGTGTTTTTTGAAAAGGGTCACATTGCAGAACAAGGAACACATGAAGAACTAGTGGCTTCACGTGGGAGGTGACATTTATCGGCTATATGTCTACACTTTCTTCCGCTGAGAATTTTTTATGCATCAATCTAATGAAGGCGGAGAAAAGCAAGATGATAAGAATCTTGTTTCCTACCGTTTCAATAGTCAAAAGAGCGTTGGTGAAAAAGGGGCGATTCTCGTCAAACATTTTGGGATATCATGCCGTAGGGTCACACCAAATAAATATTAGGTTGTCCGGAAAGGAATGCGCGTTCGAGCTTAAAAAATTTTTTATTATAAAAACGAAATTAAACAAGATAAATTCAAAAGACAATCTCCATTAGTATCAATGACTTGTTGTCAACATTTATGCAAAAAATGGATTCCTCTTCTGAAGAACTCGACCGGCTGCGACTCAAAGAAGTTGGACACCCAGAGTTGGACCTTTTTCGCGGTTTGTGAATTTTCTCTCGGCCAGGGAGTTCTGCATCGACCGGAACAGATGGTAATCGATGGTGCCAGGTCTGATCTGTGTGGCGGATGAGGCAGGACTTTCCAGCCCAATTCCTCAATTTTTTTCTAGAGTGATTTTCGCCACATGTGGATGAG